TACTGCTACTGCTACTGCTACTGCTACTGCTACTGCTACTGCTGCTGCTACTGCTACTGCTACTGCTACTGCTACTGCTGCTGCTATTGCTAATGCTACTGCTACTGCTACTGCTACTGCTACTGCTACGGCTACCGCTACCGCTTCCGCTACCGCTTCCGCTTCCGCTACCGCTACCGCTACCGCTACTGCTACTACTGCCGCTGCTGCTGCTGCTGCCACTGCTACGAATACTTCTGCTACTAGGACAACTACTACGACGACGACTCTTGCTATTGCTATCACTTCTACTATACGACCACCACCACCACCACCACTGGAAATTGCAACAACAAGGCAACACAAACCACGATTGCCCTGGCTTGTGTTCGTGGGTCGGCATTGTCTTGGTACACCATAGCCATGGTAATGCTCAAAATCCGAATGTGTAATGCGGCCTGGCCTCATCAATCGCTCCTTCATCCTTGAGCGCCAAAATGGCGATCTGTTGCGCCGAAATCACCTGTGCAACATGTTATGGCAACCCGAACACAGCAGAGCCACCAATCCAGTAGAGCACGGATTGAAGACTCACATGCCGGTAAGACCCTGATGGCGCGAGCGAATCTCGATACGATTCAGTCGAGGCTGTTACTGCACGCCGCAACACATTGAGTGCGATAAAACACTTTTGTCGTCAAGGAAATGCCAGATGAAGGTTCAGACTGGGGCACAAAGCCAGGTAAGCTGGAGCAAACTCCGCTGTTATGCGAATCCAACATGCCACTGCCAAGGACGCACGGCTCCAGAGCCTCTAGTTAAGGCTCTTTGCATGTGGTCAGGCATCGAGCCTGCTGCGAAGGCCAAGGAGACAGGGCGGGGAAATGGGGGGCCGAAGCCGAACTTTGGGAACTAGCAGCCCTGGCCCTCCAAATCTTTCCCCCCACTTGCGGGATTCACAGGCACGACCCTCCAAGTAATGGCCGGATTTGACGCCGCGTCTTGTCATTGCGAGGACAACAGCCCCCTGTACGAGCTGGAACAGAATTGCAATGGCAATGTATCGCGCTTACCAGACGAAGCGGACACGCCGGCATCGCCGAGAGTCTCGCAGCACCATTTCGCAAGTGATCGAAAACGTCGGTATCAGGAGACGGTTGCCATCGGTTGCCGAAACGAGAAAAATCGTCACGGCACAACACGCCCAGCACCCGTTTGCGCTGCGTGGCGGCTCCCGCTGACCCTGCCCTACATATTGCAAGATATTTAATTCGATCCAAAGGATTCCAAAGGTAAGACACAACCTCACGTAACACCAGGGTGACATCATGCCATCCCAACAGCATCACCTGTCATCACATCATGCCATCCAAACCACCTCCACGGCCAAAGCCCTTCGCCACCTTTTGGGCAAACAAGCAGCTAGTGAAGCTGGTGACATCAACAATCTCGTCTTTGAGTTCAATCTATGACCCAAACCCGATGATCGAAATGAAATGGAATAACCTCGTCAGAAAAATACAGCCAGTTCTGTCTCGACCCCGTCCCCGTTGTCCATCATCAGCTCCACCAACTGTTTCCGGCAAGAAACAGATTTGCCGCATGAGGTTCTCATGTACCGATCTTAACACACGTCCCACAACTTGCTTGGCCCTGCATTCGTGACGGTCCTTGATAATTGGTGATCCTTCCCGGTGGTCAAAAATCTCTCGGATCTCCGGAGCAGAAGGGCTTCGAAGCTCTGTACCCCTTTCCACGAAGGATGAGGGCTCGGGGAGTTGAGAGAGCGCGACCCATTGGAGCAGGGGTGCCGAAGGCCTGCAACCTCATACATCAGTCGTCCCTTGATCCGGTCTATTCTTCTCAATATAACACGGGGGAATCTGCGTCTCCAGACCACCTTCAGGGCACCAGCTAAATCGACGAGCGCAAGTCTTCAAACACAACAGCATAGAAATATGCTTTGGTTTGTGCGTTGTCATGCAGTCATGCACACCGACTGTCACATGACGCTAATGAACTTTCATGTTCATCTTGCGCTGATCAACTTCCCCCAACATTCCAGAAACTTCACAACAAATGGCCAATGCCGTGAACATCAAACTTACTGCAAGAGTGTGCAAGCAGGACCGAAGCTATCCTTGCCCTTGCCCTAGATTGCAGGGCATGCACCTTCCGTTGTTGGCCGCACATGTCCTGCAGTGATGCTGCTGCTGGTTCTAACAGTGCGCTGCACCCAGCAGAAAATAGCAAATCGTTAAAACGTCGGGAAAGATGTGGCGGCAGGGCTCATACAATTGGTATGAATCTGGGGTCCTGCAAGGCATCCAACATCTGCATGGCGCCGTCCAAGCGCCTTCAGCTAGTTTCTGCATGCAAGCGTACAAGTGTCATTTGTCAAGAGTCGAAAAAGATATCGTGGGGTCAAAAGGCTCCTGTCGAGAGAAGGGCCGTTCCCAGGGACACCGCAATCAAATTAAAACTCACGGGCCCGCGGGCTCACCGGCCCACGGGCCCGCCACGGGCCCACGGGTCCGCCCCGGGTCCATGGACAGGAGTGTGTGTATTTGGCATACGTATGCATGCTCTTGCATGGGTATGTGTGTACGTAGGTAAGCATGCATGTACATATGTATGTATGTACCCATGTACACATGCGCGTATTTGTTGTACGTATGCATGTAGTTGTTGTACGTATATGCATTTATGTACGTATGTATGCAATTATCTACGCATGTATGTACTTATGTACGTATGTATGTGCTTATCGATGCATGCGTTTATCTGCTTATGAATGCGTTTATCTATGTATGCGTTCCGGTTCGTATGTATGTATCTGGAAACGTATGGGTGTTTATGTTTGTCTGTAAGTATATACACGTGTAAGTCTATGGTCTTATGCTTGTGCGTGCATAAACACATAGGTTCAATAATGCATATGTGTATATATACATATGCATATCTATCTATATATATATATATATGTATATAGATGTATGCAAATCAGTATAGATATGTCTGCGTGTGTATATATATGTATATACGTAACTTGTACATACCTACATACATACATACATACATACATACATACATAGATATACATGTGTGTGTGTGTGTCTGTGTGTGCACCTGCGCATGTGCTTGTTTGCGTACGTACGAACATGTGGACTCTTCGTTGCTACCTGTATAAGTTGTGTTTGACAGGGTAACGTTATGTTGTGTGTGTGTGTGTCGATATATGTATCTATCTATGTGCGTTTGTATCGTCATGTGTGCAAGCATATGTACATACATGTACTCATTTATGTACTTGTATACTGGCATGTGTTCACTGCATATATATATATATATGTGTGCGTGTGTGTGTGTGTGTGTGCGTGTGTGTGTGTGTGTGGGGAACCCAAAATACCACGG